GATTAATCGATTAATCGATAAATTAGTCGATAGATTAATCGAAATAAAAATAGTCGTTAGTGGCAGGCAGACTTATAAGTGCATTACCCCCACCTATCTCTCAAATGGACCATTGTCAATGGTCCATTTGAGAGATAGGTGGGGGTAATGCACATGGTCCATTTGAGAGATAGGTGGGGGTAATGCACTTATAAGTCTGTGATCCGCCGTAAAGCAAGAAGAAGAAGGCGCCTCATGCACAGGCACTAAAACACTAAATTTAGAGTTTGTCTAAATAGACCAATCAGAGTCTATTAACTACTACTATTCCTTTTAATTACACAAATATAGGCCTATCATTCAAACTGATTTATAAAACTGATCCGAGATCAGGTGAAAAACCATATACACTGCAGTTATCTGCTGGAGGGCAATCTATGTGTTCGTATCACCCCCCCAACGGCGAACCATTGAAATTTCGAAACATTTCGCAAGAGTTGTGACATAAAGATGATTGAATCAGTGAGTTGTTGATTCAAGAACAGCTGCAACTGATTCAGTCCAATTCCTACGAAATGAATACTTCAGCGCGATTTGTGAACTGATTCACAGTTAATAAAAAAAGAATAATCTCTCGGAGCGAGTGTCGATTACTTTAGTTAGAAATAAAAATTATGTTTTAATGACGTAGTGGAGTAAAAAGATAAATTAAGCCTTCTTGAAACTTACAAGAAATTTCAAGAGACATTTTATTTGCAGCACACTGTTGGGGCAACAAAAATCCGTAGAAAAACGGATAAGCTAATGTTCTGGCAGAAAATTATCACTAAAAAACGGTACAAAAACAATATGTCCTGGCAGAAAATAGTAGCATCTTTTTCTTGAAATAAATGACCTTGAAAAAGTAACAAAAACGGATATTTATGCTTTAGTGTATGGAGAAAATAAATGTTATGCCCTGTGTTAAATTTAATACAAAACGCTAATCTGGTAATATGTAAAAAACAAACAACAACAACAAAAAAAAAACATTATTCTCTGGATCAGAGTGATCCAATCTAGAAAACCAGCACAAAAGTAAAATGGATTACCTGATTCATGGGATTCCAAATCCGGATCATTCTGATCCAGATTAAAGTTTTTTTTCTAACTTGTCTCAGGACTTCAAATGTGTGACATCCAAAATGAGTGCTTCTGGGGGTCCAGGACTATGGAGGACGAAACCTGCAAAAACAAATAAATAAATACACAAATAAATAAATGTGTGCATAAATACACGTATTCTTGTTTAAATACATAAATAAATAATTAAACGTGATGAAAGTAGGCAAATAAATAAAATAAATTGGTGGGCAAATGGAAAATGTTTAGGGAAATGCTAAACTCATCCTATTTTCCTTTGATTACTCATTTATTTCTGAATGTAGTTCCACATTTTTTTCCCCTCTGCGCAGCATGCTAATGAGAGGGTGTCAATTATGCAAGAGTAGGCGGATGGTGTGTGACGCGCGCATGCGTATTAACTTCATCAGTCAAGGTGACTGGTTATTATCTTACACTTTTTCATAGGGTTAGTTTTGTAGTTATAATCATGAGAGAGCTAAATCATAAAAGATTTTAAGTGGCCAATGTAAAATATTAATGCTTACATAGCTCTTAATTGCAATACTGAACCGTTATTTGCTTAATAAGCATACTTTTGTCGCCTGTATTTTCTGTTCTGATAACTAATGGGGAAAAAACTGTTCCTCGATTAAACCACTTAATACCAGTTCTCAAGGATGAGATATGTGAGCCTCTGTTTGTACAATAATAAATTGAGAATCAACTGATGTGGAACTACATTCAGAAATAAATGAGTGATCAAAGGAAAATAAATAGGATGAGTTTAGCATTTCCTTATACATTTTCCATTTTCCCACCAATTTATTTTATTTATTTGCCTACTTTAATCACATGTTTAATTATTTCTATATGTATTTAAACAATAACTTGTGTATTTATACACACATTTATTTATTTATTTGCATATTTATTTATTTATTTGTGTATTTATTTATTTATTGTTTTTGCAGGTTTCGTCCTCCATACAGGACCAGTTAAATACACAGTGGGCAATCAATCAAAACAAATATCATGTGTAGGTTGTATTGATTAACAAGTTTAATCTCGTGTTTAAAACTACTCAGATCAAAATAAAACGTAATGCTTGATTAAACTCGCCGAATTTAATTATTGCTACCTTCCAATAAAATTAGGGATTTGATTCTGTAGTTTAAATCCAAATGGTTCTGATTCCAGCAAATTCATGCTACTATTATAATTAGACTTTTCTGTTTGAATAAGCCATTTTATCGCATAGGCCTATAATGAATATAAAATGTAACACGGAACTAGATTTAGAATACAGAAACTCCTTTGTTTAAAGGGGTCATATGATGCGATTTCAAGTTTTCCTTTCTCTTTGGAGTGTTACAAGCTGATTGTGAATAGCTAAGATCCCTGAAGTTGCAAAGACTAAAGTCTCAAAACCAAAGAGATATTCTTTATCAAAGTTAAGACTCTGCCACACACCCCTAAAACGGCTCGTTCTAACACGCCCCCACATATCTACCTCACTATGTGGAAATATTAGCATAATGCCGCCCAAATGTGCAGGCAAAGAAAGAAGGCGTGGTTTCAGTAACCACAGTTAGTGTTGAAGCAGCCATGTCAGGGAGACGCTGTGTTTCTAGGCGAAAGCAAAAGCACTTTATTTGGCCTTCCGAAAGTAGATGCATTTAGGAATCTTTAAGATTACTTACAACAGAACAGCAATGCATTTTATGGACGACCTTTTCGTGAACCTAGGAGAGGAGGTAATTCTTATATAGTTAACTGTCCATTTTGTTATGGCAGGAGTTGACGATGGTCCTGGTGGAGTCGGCTGGGCTGGAAGGCGAAGAGAAGTTGAGAAGCCTGGGGTCCGTGGCTGCCTGGCCGGAGGCGGGGTTGACCGCGGTGTGAGGCGGCGTCTTGGCGAACTTGGAGGAGGGCGCCGAGTAGGGTGACCTCGTTCCTTGCTGGAGTGGCCGGTACGAGAAACGGAATTGGAGGAAGCTGGGTTCGGCTGAGTGGCGGAAGGAGAATCCGAAGGACGGGAAAGTTCCTCGTCGGAGGTGAACAGCTGAAGCTCGTCGGGGTGGGACATGTTTCACGGAATAGGGCGGGGCCACTATGCCGGAAGAATATTCGCTTTGACGGAACAATGACTGCTGCTTATATACGGTCGAAACGATGATTGGCAGGACTGGTTGATTAGGCTCCTCCCGAACCTGCGTTGCGAACTTCATTTAAATACCATACCATTACCATTTTTCTGACACATCAATTTATCCTTCCAAAACGGCTTGCCAATCTAACCAACCATCTTTATATGTTGAGGAAACGTATACAATTTAATCCACAAGCTCTATTGAACACACTCAAGGTAATCAATCAATCAATCAAGACTCAACAGTTTATCACAGAAATTTAATGATGACCCAACACAGTGGTCAATCGTGGTCATTTCTATTGACTGTACACAAATGCATGTCATTGAACAACTGCACTGTAGCACAAGTGTAACATTCTTGTTTTTTCGATTGTTAAACTCAACCACATCCCTTATATTTACACCATGTTCTATAGATATTTCTCTATATATCTTTTGTACAATGTACAATGTTTTAATCAGGTGAAATAATAATAATAGCAAACAAATTCCGTTAGACTCTGATCCAGCCAAAGCATGCAGGTTTTTGTCGAATAGACATGTCAAAAGGTGTGCATTAGTGGAAAGTTAAAGCATGTTGAACAGCCTTAAAGCAGAAAAAGCTGAAGCCAAGAAACACAGAGCAAGTCTCTTTTTTTTATGTGAGGAGTTGTACAGCTTTTACAAACACTTCATGACATTGGCCTCTGCTTTACATTTGGCTACATGGAGAAGCATCCATGCTAAGCACAAATAATAGGTCAGACGAGAAAACTAACCTTGCATGGACATATTTGTGCCAAGTAGGCCTATTGCTTTTATAAATCCAGTTTTGCGAACACAAATGGTGGGGTTTACTGAATACATTGCAAATAAGCAGGTATGATCTTTTAAAATTACATGAAGATTTATCTTTGTCAGTTTTTGTGTTAGCTTATCAAAGCAATGGCATTTTGCAAATGCAAGGACATAGATAGTTACATTATGACTTATTATCTCTGTTACACAACATAGCAGACAGGGATTTCACAATAAATGTACTTTGTAAGAAAATAAAGTAACTATGCTAAGTTTCTTTAAAATAAATGTATCTTCACAGTTTTAAATTATTTGCATCATGATATTGTTATTCCATGGTCAGCTACATATCAATAAACTATGTATTTCAATGGGTAAATTTAGTAATAATCCAACCTTTCATGTTACATGAGGATGTTCATAACCGAGTTATTCCATTGCCGTACATGAAATAAAAATCATACAACACACCTCTAATCAAAACAGGACTCTTGGACAGTGCTACCAGCATGTGTAAGATGCGTACCAATGTTATCCAATATTCATATCTCATGTGTGCCAATAAATGGAGTATTTGGTTGAAATTCTAATGTCATAATCTTTGGATGAAATGCCTTATATACTTCAAAATCTGTCACTTTGGGTTCAGCCTGGCCAACAAAATCTTCTGCTGGTAACACCATACGTCCAGTACAGTTTCGTACTTACCAACATCCTGAAGGGTTACAGACGAACACAGGAAAAAGCGGAACATGCACACTTAAAACAGCTTGTTTTGAGCTGGCTTCACATTTTTCACATTAAACAAAAGCAGCGCAGCAGGTGAAGACCGGGAATATGTACATCGGGTCACGAAGGTGGCGGCCAGTGCAATGGCATCTCTCATAACGCACGATTTCGACAGACTCGCAAACAACGAACAGTAGAGTCCTGCACAAAGGGCGTAAATCTGCATCCACAAAAAGGAAAATGAGCTTTTTTGTATTTTACAGAAGTTCCAGACATGATCCATGCAGATTATTTGACACAGATGGTTGGTTACGCAACCTCAAGGCAAGGATGAATTGCTCAGTTTGAAGTGTACTAAGCACAGTGGTAGATTAGAGGGTTTTTAAAACGTGTGGGTTGAAACAAATAGCTCAGAACTAATGCACTGGTGGACACAATGAACTTTTAGGTGAGACGTAAAACTAAAAGCAACATGTTTAGTCTACCATTGCTTGGATAGTTTGTGTTGGATCAGTCTACAAATGACTGAAGGTAGCAAATCTCTATTCCTTAAAACCGCAAAGCGTTAAACACAAGTGCTAGGATTTCAACAGCTGGCATATTATTGTTCAGTGACACAAATACCAAAAGTTGTAGTTGGATGCGAGTATGAAGTATACAAAACACCTCCTTTGTAAAACTCTACACCTAGTGGATGTTTTTGTCCAACTCGAACACAAATGGCTGGGGAAACTTGATGGCAGCATCACCTAACTTAACATGCATCGTCTGCTTAGCGTTAAGTGTCACTTGGAGGGAATGTTACACAAATTTAAGGTTCAGAAAGCAGGCTAACAATATTACGTCAATTGGAGAGTTATATATACTTGTGTGTGTTACTAAAACTGTCCTCAGCAGTTAGCATGATAGTCATTCCCCAAGACAGTTCCACCTAAAAATGAACCCGATCCATCTGCATGCATTGCCGAGGCAGTAATGACATCAGGAGCCACGGTTTCCCTGGGCACTAACATTGGTTGGGCGTCATAATGTTGTCATGACAATATTTCCACCACGTAAACGTAGCCCTTGGAATGGTATGAGTTTAGCAGGCTGACGTTTTTGCAACGCTGTGGAGATGTTAGCCTGGGGAGTGAAATGCAATCTCTCGGTCTTCCCTACAGTGCATCCCGTCAGGAAGGTGCTGGTCATGACGGCGGTGATGTTTGAAATGTCTCCAACTGGTTGGCACACAATAATGGAGCTCTCGATGAAAGCCAGCAT